GTAGAGCTAAGTTACTAGGAAGAATATATAGAAAAGGATCTAAAAATATAGAGCAAAGTATTGATGCTCTAGAGAGTACGATATTAAATGAAAGAATAGAATATCTCAACACAGAATACAATATCAATATTCCGTTTCTACTAGAATTTTGGAATGAGAAATACTGCAACGAAATTAAAGAATAGTGGAACATACTAAAAGAAAGAGTACGGAAAGAATTTCAAGCTATAAATGAAAAAGAAATTAAAGAGAGAATAGAAGAAAAATTCGCACTAATACCTCAAAGCCAAAAACAGATACTAAACAAGCTACTCAAATGTCTTTACAACAAGATCACTGTAGATAGAGTTTTAGTTCAGAGCAAAAGTAAATTTAAGCACAGAGAGCTAGTTACAGAAAGCAGTGAAGTCAAAAAAGAGGTAGAAAAGCATTTCAAAGAACAATTCAGAAAGAAAAACTACTAATTTGAACAAATTGACTAAGAATAGATGAGTATTTATAAGAAGCAAGCAAAAATCAAGGAGAGTTGGTACACAGAAGTTATGAGTAGAATAACAGAAGAAGAATGGTTAGAGGTCACAAATTCATTAAAAGAAGATACAGTGCCTGAAATCTCAAGTATTGGCTACAGACTCATAAAGAAAGTAAGTACGAAAATAAGAAAGCATTTTGTAAAATTCACAAACCAAATAGTACATGAAGAAAAGTTTCCTAAGAAATGGAAGCTAGGACAAATATATCTAATTCTCAAAAGTACAGATTGGGAATTTAACCTTGCTAGTACTAGACCAATTATATTGCTTAAGACGTTCAGAAAACTTGTAATCAGAATAGTTCAAAAAAGACTAAGTAAAGTTTTTGTTACGAAACAGATATTAAAAGGAGTAAATTTTGTAGGACTGCCTAATGAAAGCACTATGGCACCAATATATGTCCTAAACAATATTATCGAAGATGCAATTCAGAAGAAAAAGGAGCTATGAATAGCATTTCAAGACATGCGAAAAGCTTTAGATTCAGTAAGTATTTATGCCCTAGAGCTCTCCATGAGAAGGATAAGATTTCTAGAAAATTTGATCACTTTTATTAAGCAATTATACCAAAACTGTGAAATAAGAGTGATAACAGACGAAAGCCCAACAGACTTCTTTGTAGCTGGTGATGGAATTGACCAAGGAGAAGTGATTTCTCCACTAATGTGAAAAATATTTTATGATCCATTGCTAGTAAGAATACAACAATTAGAAATCAGATACCAAATGGAGCTTCAGTGGCTAACAGAAATTGAAAAGCGAATTTACAAAACAGAAAAAATGATGATTTCAGTACTGGCATATGTGGACGATACTATGTGAGTAGCAGAATCTCAGCTTACACTGCAAAAAATCATCCAAGTATCAAACAGTTTCTTTATATTAAATGATATCGAGATTAATAGAGCAAAATCCGAAGTAATCACTTGGAGACCTCACAAGCAAGGAAAGAAAGAAGAATATATAGAAATTGGAATACTACCAAGTTTAGTCAAAGTTAAGGAACCAGAAGAAAGCACAAGGTTTCTAGGTGTCTGGATTAGCTTAAAGAAGCAAGAGAGAACTAGTATACTATGATGCAAAAAAGAAGTAGACAAGTTAATATGCATACTAAAATACAAAAAGCTCTCAGCAAGCTAGATAGTATACATAAACAATATGGTACTGCTCCCAAAACTTGAGTACCTTCTAGCAAACGTCTGTCTTAAGAAAAAATCCTGTGATATGATACACTAACCTATGCTTAGACTTATCAAATGAAAACTGGAGCTTCCATCTACGTATGCAAATGCAACTCTCCAACATAAAGAGATCTTTGAAGTAGTTAGCCTATAGCAAAAACACATAGAGCATCACATATCTGAGCTTTTTGTAAGAATAAATACTAATAGTATCATAGGTACAACTACACTAATGAGGTTAAAGTAGTTCTAATTGAACATGAACATGTTTGAGTATATTCTTGTCACAGAAAACATGAACTGGAAAAAGACCAAGTATAGAAACTTAGAGGCTAAAATAATGCAGTATGCAAAAAAACTTGGCTTTAGCGTTATAAAAAATGAGTTCACAGCAAGTTGGGAATTCTTAAACCTACAAGAAGACAAAAAATGTCTTATTAGCAATATACTTAGTAGGTGTAACTTAAAAGAGGTACAAGAAGGTATAAGCAAGCTAAACCTATAGTATATGAATCAGTTCTTAAATAATGAACGAGAGAAAATGATTACGTGAAGACAGCTTAAAGTAAAAGAAAGAAGAAAATACACAGAAAGAAAAGCTAAATGGTTTGAGGCAATAGAAAAAGAAATACTAGTAGACGAGAAGACAAGAGAGGTATCTAAAGAATATAGAAAAAAAAAGGTTTTTAGGTACAAGAAATCGAATCAAAAATTTCACAAGACAAAAAGAAAAAAGAATGGGTATTCATAAAAGGTAAAGAGAACAAAGAGAGTAAAATTAGTTATATTATCAGAAAAAAAAAGAAGCTCGCAGAAGTAGAAATCTGGGAAGAGAACTACGAAAATACACAAGAGGTACTCGATCAACAAGTAACACTCACTTAGCAAGAAACCTACAAGGAAGGCTACAAATTAAAGAAGAATAGCCAAAAACAACGAGTAGTACTAAAAGAGGTTCACAACATCTCAAGCTTCATTCAGAAAAAAGATAATGCATCTCAAGTAGTATTCAATAGAAAGTACCTAGAAAAAATAGGAAAAAAAAACCAAAAAAGCAAAGTAGAAGAATTTAAAGAGTTCAAGAACCTAGAGCATATCGTGACCAAAGGAAGCTGGAAAGCAGAGTTAATTAACCAAGCTATTCAGAATACAAATGATAGAAGAGAATTTAAAGAAAGATTAGAAGCAAACAAAGAAAAAGAGGAAATAGTATTTTACACAGATGGCTCACTCAGTAGAGAGAATACTTAGGATAGAATGAGGATGGGATATAGTGTAGTTCAATTAAATAGCATAAATAATATAGTCTTTAGGTACAAAGGAAGAATAGAAAATTAGTTCTTATCTACTCATGCAGAGCTGGTAGCTTGTTTAGTAGCAGTGTTATTAGTTCCCAACAGTTGTAGAGTAGAAATAAAGACAGATAGCACATGTGCAATTCTTGCAATCGAAAAATATCTTAAAAATGAGAAGTTATGTGAGTGGTTAAAAACTAAGAACAACAACATCTTGCATGTAATTAAGAAGGTTTGCAAGAGTAAATCAATACAATTAGTATTTACTAAAGTCAAAAGTCATTCAGGTAATATATATAATGACATAGCAGATATGCTTACAAAAGAAGAGATATATGAAACACAAAGTATAGAACTAAGTAACATAAGTAACAAGAGTGTAAAATATATCCCTGAATAGAAAGGCCTAAGTCTTGAGACTCTGTTGAGAGCCTTCATTAAAAAGGTAGTTCAAACAATATACAAAGCAAAGTAGACATGGTTAAAAAAGAAAAATGATGAGGAACACCAAGCAAGAATTCAAAAACAAAACTAGAAAGCATTTAAAGATATCCTTGAAAGCTGTTTTATGCAATACAAAAACTCAGAAGTGAATTACCTGTGACTGTTCAAAATCAAATGTATCGAAAACCTCCTTCCAACAGTTGAAGCCTTAAACTATAGAAAACTACAATTATACAAAAATAGCTAATGCAAAAAATATGCTAAGGAAAAGGAAATAATCAAACACATTATCTCATGTGAAAAAACATATCTAGCATATAAAAGAATTGAAGAAGAAACATGAAAATAGCTTAACGAAGACAAAAGAAAGGAAGAGGACTGGAATTTAATAAGTATAAAACAAGCTATCTATTATGAACAGGAAGAAGGGCATCAAAAAAAAAAGAATGGATGAGAGGTATCCTTAGTAAAGAAGATGCAGAAAAAATCAAAAATATTATCAGATCTGAAAAAATGATGATTAAATTTTGGAGCCTCTTCTGGCATATTTGGATAGAACTCGTATATAAAGAGATATAGAAAAATTGATGCAAAGATATTGAGGCATGGGAGAAAAAAGAAAAAATCTCTAAAAAAGAAAAATATTCATGAAAATAGAAAGAAAAGAAGAACTGGAAAAAAGTACTAGTTGGAAAAAAATTAAATAACAGAGTAGATATGAATATAGAAAATTGTAATTAAAGTTCAAAATAGCGTTAGATAGTATAGTTAAGGAAGTAAAGGAGGGAATAGTAGCTAGTTGGATTTAAATTTAGTCATGATAGACTATGGCATCCTTTCTACGCTGAGGGTAGCTTATATTTTATAAACTGCCTTAATATAGAACAAAAGTTACTATAGCAGATTGCACATAGGTATCTATTGGATAACCAGTGAGTCATAGCTTAAAAAATTAGACATTAGATAGTATATAGCTAAATAATATTGTTTTTAAATAGAAAACAAATCTAAATAAAGTTATGGTATGACTGCTGAAGTTAAAAAAAAAAATTATCTAATAAATCAATAAGCATTCTATATTCTATATCTTTATAATGTTGATCAAATTTTTGTAAAATTACTTGTTTAATTTTTTGCCATGCTTTATGTGCTAGTTCTAATAAAAGATTAATTCACTAAGGTTTAGGTTTTTTAGCTAATTTTTTTTTATCTCCAAATACAGAATGAAATAATTGATTAAAAAATTCATAATTAATTATTAATACTGTTTCTTTACTATTTAATACAACATGAAGAGGTCCAATTATTAGATGAAAATTTTTATAAATTTGTAGAATATTTGTTATAGTTTGTTGAATATTAAATATATAAGAATTTTTCTAATAAATAATTGTTCTGGCCAATCTGTAATTATTGGAATTATATTTTGATTTAAATAATTATTAAGTGAAAGAATATTAATAATCATTTTAAGAGCTTTAATATAATCTTTATATGAATGTAAATTCATTTCTTTAAAATTTATAAGTTTTAAATCTTGTATTGACCTTTTATTTTTATGTTCTAAAATAGTATTATCATATAAATGAATTGTTAAATTATCTATATTATCAAATTTACTTAATTCTAAAGATGAATAAGATACCTATTGTAATTTTGAATTATTATAACTAATATCAAAAAGTGAACTATATTTTTGGGATAAATATTTACAAAGATTTTCTGCATCAATATTAACTAGATTAAATAAAGAAATATTATTATAGTTTGCTAAAACAGATGTTGATAAATTAATTTTTTTAGCAGTACAAGTTGCAAAATATTTAACAGAAAAAAAAAAAGTTGCATCTGGTCGACATATTTTATGAATTGAATAAAAATTATTAAGATTAAATGTATATAAATAGTTAATCCAAATAAAAATAAATAATAAATTATATATTATATATAATATAAATATTTTATATTAAAATAATTTATCTGTTTATTAAAATATTTATTAATTTTATCAAAATGATCTTCAACAATTTGTTGTTTATATCTTAATATAGTTTTAGATAAAACTGTAAGTTCAGTATTTGCTAAAATATCTATACCTCTATAAGAAGTTCCTGCTGAAGCTAAATGAAGTCCTATATCTAATTTATGACTATTTGCAAATTTATTTCTTAAATTTGCAAAAAGATAACAAAATGAAACAATAGATTTTTTTGCTTCTTCCTAATTATAAAAACTTCTTGTAGTTGGTATAAGACCTTCAACTAATTTATCAAAAAATTCAATTAATTGAGATTCATTTTCTTCTAATATTTGTTTAAATTTAATAGGATCATATTCTGGATTATTTTTATATTTTATTGTTGATTATAAATTACTAAAGTAAGAAGTTGTAATTTAGTTGCAAAATTAATTTCTATAAATTTAAATATAATAGGTTTAGTTAATTATAAATATATAATTTAAAATATATATTATATTATTATACTATTAGATATATTATTTTTATTAATATTTTCAAAATTCTTATTTATAGTTTTAGAAACTTCAATAATTTTTTCAAATATTTTATCTTTTTAATTTTCTTACAAATATCAATATTTGAAACTAAATTTAAAAAATCTTGTTTAGGAATATATATTTTATCATCAAAAATTTCTAAATGAATATTATCCTATTTTAATTTAGAAGATTTTTCTGTTTTTTAGGTCTGGCGATCTTAGTGTAGTGGTTAGGTTGCCAGACCACCATGCAAGAGGTCTGGGGTTCAAATCCTACTGTC